TGGTCGCTGCACCAGCCTGGGGCAGCAGCAGAAATGCAGGAGGCACGTGTTTAAATCGGGGCGCCCTCAATGTGAGGTGCGCAGGCCGAGAAGGGGGCTGCGGCAAGCTGCCAGTCTCCACCTTCCGCTCTTGGGTTTGACTCTGTAATTAGTTCTAGGCCTGGAGGAGACGAGGAGGATGGCAGAGAGGGGAATGAATGAAGACGCGCATCTCAAGCAGGGCAGCAAAAGCCTCCTCAGAGGAGCGGTTCTACAGGACAGGGGAGTCCCCGTGTGACTGGGGATTTATGCACCTGGAGTCATCGAACTGTCCCAAGGGCCATATTCCTTCAGCAAACGTTTACTGCGTACCCACCGGGTGCCCGCATCCCGCACTCTGCCCGCGGTGTGCGGCCCTGCCTAGCGCGCGCGCCTCCTCCAGGCCTCACCCACGCTCAGGACGGACGCGCGCTGGGCGGCTCTTCCTCGTCGGAGCGCCCCAGAGGTCGGGGAAGAGGGCCCGGCAAGGAAGCCCTCGCACCGGAGCTGCAGCTGCAGCCGCCGCACCGCCGCCCCTCCGGCCCCCACGGGGCAGAGGCGCGGTTCCTTCTCTCCGGTCTTCCGGGACGCTACCTCGCCCACTCCGTTCCGCGCCCGCGCACGCGCCGCTCCGCCACCTGATTGGCCCCCGGCGCCCCGGATTGGCCCAGGCCGTCCAACAGCCGCCCCGCCCAGAGAGAGGCCATTGGTCCTTGCCCATAGGGGCGGGGCACGGCGGAGATAAGCGGAATTCGGCCTTCGGAAAGAGCCCCCGGGCCGGGGCACGGAGAGAGCCGAGCGCCGCAGCCATGAGCCGAATAGAGCCGGAGAGACCCGAGTATGACCGGAGAAGCCCAGGCCGGCCGGAAGAGGAGCCGAGCGCGGCCGGAAGGAACCGAGCCCGTCCGAAGGGAGCGGAGCGCAGCTGGGCGTGGGGCCCGGTCGATCCCGCGCCATGGCGGCCGAGGGGACAGCTGTGGCCAGAGGCGGGGCTGTTGGCGGCTGCCTGGCCAAAGACGGCTTGCAGCAGTCTAAGTGCCCGGACACTACCCCAAAACGGCGGCGCGCCTCTTCGCTGTCGCGTGACGCCGAGCGCCGAGCCTACCAGTGGTGCCGGGAGTACTTGGGCGGGGCCTGGCGCCGAGTGCAGCCCGAGGAGCTGAGGGTTTACCCCGTGAGGTGGGAGGTCAGGGGTCAGCCTCTCCGGTGCGCGGATCGGGGTCAGGGGTCAGCCGCGGGGCCCTCAGGATGCTCCATGTTTTCGCCCCTTCTTGCGCCCGATCCTGGGGCGGGGCCGGGGCCGGCCTGGCCGGGAGGGGGCCGGGGCCGCGGCAGGTGGGGCCGCCCGCGGGCTGAGCGCGCCTGGTGTGGGTCTGCAGCGGAGGCCTCAGCAACCTGCTCTTCCGCTGCTCGCTCCCGGACCACCTGCCCAGCGTTGGCGAGGAGCCCCGGGAGGTGCTGCTGCGGCTGTACGGAGCCATCCTGCAGGTGAGCGGGGTGTGAGCGCCGCAGCGCAGTGGCTTTAGGGCCTGCCGCTTACGGGATGCGGGTAGTAGTGTCCCCATTGCGCAGTTAAGGACAGCGAGGCTCACAGTCTGAGTAACACCTTCTCACACTGAAGCCTGGGCCTGTATTCCCAGCGCTTTGGGAGGTTGAGGCGAGAGGATCACTTGAGCACAGGAGTTCGAGACCAGCCTGAACAACATAGTGAGACCCCATCTCTAAATAAAAACAGACCAACGCGAAAGCCTGTGCTCCAGAGCCTCCAGGCAATTGGACCAGAAGTCCCAGCTCTGGTGGGAGGAAAGCAAGCCCTTATGTCTGTCCCTGTGCCACTTTGCCTTGGCCCTTTTGCTATCCATCCTTTTTCAGGGCGTGGACTCCCTGGTGCTGGAAAGCGTGATGTTTGCCATCCTTGCGGAGCGGTCGCTGGGGCCCCAGCTGTATGGCGTCTTCCCAGAGGGCCGGCTGGAACAGTACATCCCAGTACGAGCCCAGTCCTACCTTCTCCTCCCCAAGGCACCTCCACTCCCTAACCCTACCCCAGTGCCCAATGTCTGCCTTCACATCCCTCACCCCAAGTAGGGAATTTCCCCCCAAACCCTGACCTCCCCCCATGCCCCAATCCTTCCCCCTCCTGCCCCAGCCCCATCACCACCCTGATAGCTTCCTGGGTGCAGAGCCGGCCATTGAAAACTCAAGAGCTTCGAGAGCCAGTGTTGTCAGCAGCCATTGCCACGAAGATGGCGCAATTCCATGGCATGGAGATGCCTTTCACCAAGGAGCCCCACTGGTTGTTTGGGACCATGGAGCGGTGAGTCAGGAGCCTCCTCAGGGCTCCTGTACAGCTGAGCTGAACCTCTGTGCCAGCACATGTGTCCGGGGCTCTATCCAGCCCTCCACTTGAGAGGATTTGATATCATGGGCTCTCGCAGAACAGGCTTTAAAATGCTTGCCAGAGGCCACAAGCAGTGCCTCATGCCTGTAATCCCAGAACTTTGGGAGCCGAGGTGGGTGAGTCACTTGAGGTCAAGAGTTCCAAGACCGTCCTAGCCAACACGGCAAAATGCCATCTCTACTAAAAATACAAAAATTAGCCCGGCGTGGTGGCAGGCACCTGTAATCCCAGCTACTCAGGAGGCTGAGGTGGGAGGATCCCTTGAGCCCAGGAGGCGGAGGTTGCAGTGAGCTGAGATCGTGCTATTGCACTTCAGCCTAGGTGACAGAGCAAGACTCTGTCTCAAAAAAACAAACAAAAAAAGAAAATAAATGATTGCCAAGGCCAGGCATGGTGGCTCATGCCTGTAATCCTAGCACTTTGGGAGGCTGAGGCGAGCATATTGCCTGAGCTCAGGAGTTCAAGACCAACCGGTGAAACCCTGTCTCTATTAAAATACAAAAAATTAGCCAGGCATGTCTGTGTGTACCTGTAGTCCCAGCTATTCGGGAGGCTGAGGCAGGAGAATTGCTTGAACCAGGGAGGCAGAGGTTGCAGTGAGCCGAGGTCGTGCCACTGCGCTCCAGCCTGGGTGACAGAGTAAGACTCTATCTCAAAAGAAAGAAGAAATGATTGCCAGACAAGTCACACAGTGATAAGAGCAGGGGTGCAGTAGTCTGGCCTGAGGGGTAGATAGGAGAGGGATGGGAAAGAATATCAGAGCCAGTGTATCCTATTCTTTGGGCTTCAGGTACCTAAAACAGATCCAGGACCTGCCCCCAACTGGCCTCCCTGAGATGAACCTGCTGGAGATGTACAGCCTGAAGGATGAGATGGGCAACCTCAGGTGAGGGCAGGCAGGACTAGGCTAATGGTAATGGTGTCCGCCCTTCCAGTATTTGCTGAGGGCTGGTGTCAGGGCCTGGCCTGTTAGTGTGGCTCTGATCCTTCTCTAGTAACTCCTGCTCAGGACCCATGCTCCCATACCCCTGCAGGAAGTTACTAGAGTCTACCCCATCGCCAGTCGTCTTCTGCCACAATGACATCCAGGAAGGTAGGAGAAGGCATCGGAGTCTCCCAACCCAAGATGGAGGAGCCAGAGGGCTCTGGAGTGAGCAGAACCTCACCCCATTCCCCCAGGGAACATCTTGCTGCTCTCAGAGCCAGAAAATGCTGACAGCCTCATGCTGGTGGACTTCGAGTACAGCAGTTATAACTATAGGTGAGGCTGGAAAGATGGCTTCCCATAGATCTGTTCCCACAGGGCACTTGAAAACAGGCCAGCTGCCCAGGGCATTTGGGGACTGAATGTCCACCTTATTCTCCCAGGGGCTTTGACATTGGCAACCATTTTTGTGAGTGGGTTTATGATTATACTCACGAGGAATGGCCTTTCTACAAAGCAAGGCCCACAGACTACCCCACTCAAGGACAGCAGGTATGTGGGCCAGAGGCTGGGGAGCAGGACCCATCCTGTGAGGAAGGAGGGAGGTGGAGTCTGGAAGGAATGGCTGGAAAGGATATTACCTGGGAAATACTCCACAGTCTCCCCAATTCCTGACTCTTGGCCGTTGATCGTAGCTGCATTTTATTCGCCATTACCTGGCAGAGGCGAAGAAAGGTGAGACCCTGTCCCAAGAGGAGCAGAGAAAACTGGAAGAAGATTTGCTGGTAGAAGTCAGTCGGTGAGGAAGGAGGGGCGGGGTGGGGTAGGGCGGAGCAGAGGAAAGGGGGATTGGGGAAGAGGCAGATTAATCAAGCTGCAGGGAAGGTGGTTGTGCAGAGTGGGGTTAGCACAGTGGGGGAGAAGTTAAAACTGTAGGGATTGGCCAGCCTGGGTGAGGGGATCCAAGCAGAGCCAGATGTGCTTTTGAATACCCCTACTTTTCCTGCCCTCCCCCCAGGTATGCTCTGGCGTCCCATTTCTTCTGGGGTCTGTGGTCCATCCTCCAGGCATCCATGTCCACCATAGAATTTGGTTACTTGGTAAGTGACCCTGGGAATGGGAATGCTGCTAGCTAGGGCCTGGGGAGCAGCAGCAGCCACACTCTTCCAGGAGGCCTGGGGAGTCCTGGGTGGCTGTGGGCAGCCTGAGGTGGGTGCAGAATGCTGGTCCCACGTCTTCTCACCACTGTGTGGGGTGGGTTTCCTTCCCTAGGACTATGCCCAGTCTCGGTTCCAGTTCTACTTCCAGCAGAAGGGGCAGCTGACCAGTGTCCACTCCTCACCCTGACTCTCCACCCTCCCACTCCTTGGATTTCTCCTGGAGCCTCCAGGGCGGGACTTTGGAGGGAGGAGCAACGAGCAGAAGGCCCTGGGGACTGGGCTGAGCCCCCAAGTGAAACTGAGGTTCAGGAGACCGGCCTCTCCCTGAGTTTGAGTAGGTCTCCATGGCTGGCAGGCCAGAGCCCTGTGCTGTGTATGTAACACAATAAACAAACTTCTTCCTTCGCGCCCTGTCCTGGCCCTGCTGAGCAGCAGCAGCAGAAAGTACCAAACCAAGCAGTACACACAGAGGGACTCTTCAGTGCCGTGGGCTTGAAAGTGGTTAGGGTTCATGCTGCCAATGGGGGTCCCCCATCCCTCCCCACTCCCCTGGCTCCAGCTTAGAATAGTAAATACTAGGACTTGGGGAGGAGAAGGAGAGTGATGGGGGTATGAAGACGACCCTGAGGTGGGGATGCCGCCCGGAGCACCAGCGATCCCAGAGCAGGCACAGCTGACACATCGGTGACCTTTTCCCTACATTTGGCTATTTTTAGCTCTAATGCCACCATCCTCACGAGACTCTCTGGGGCCCCCCAGGCTCCCAGACCTTTGAGCAACCTTCACGGCGCAGAAACCCAGCCCCGCCCTGCAATTCCCACCGCGGAAGGCGGGTGGTCTGGTTCCCGCCCCACGTTTTTCCGGACCCCGATTTGGGAGTAGGTGTCAGGTTCCTGGTGAGGGCGGGGCGGGGGTGGCTAGGCCTGAAGGACATGGGGACACGGGCCAGAGTGGCTGGCCCCACGCGCGGACAGGAGCGAACCTGAGCTGTGAGTAGGGGCCGGTGCAGGGCGGCCCGCGGGGGTCTGGGCCCCCAGCCCTGCACAGGGGCGAGGATGGCGCTGGGGCCCGCGCGGTCGGGCGGGGAAGGGCGGGTGCCTGAACCCTGCCTCTGTCCAGGCCACTCCGCTTCCAGGGGCGCTTCTCTTCCCCGCCCGCGCCCTCGCTGACGCCCCCCACTCCAGGCTGCACTTCACCGTCCTTGGGGCTCCTGCAGCTTTCAAGGCCCAAACCCCCTGCGCCACAGTGGCTGTGCCCACCCGGAAGGCTGGCGCGAGGATTTGGCGGCGGTTGGCCTGGCGGAGGGCGCGGGCCGGGGGCAGCCGCTCGTCGCGGGGTGGGGGGTGCGAGGGGTCGCGGACTGGCTGGGGGCGTCTCGGCGCAGCTGGCGCGGGGCCGGCCTAAGCGCGCCCGCGCACCCACCTGCCCCCGTCCTAGGTGCCGACCAACCCCCAGGATGGCGGAAGCGCACCAGGCCGTGGCCTTCCAGTTCACGGTGACCCCAGAGGGGGTCGACTTCCGGCTCAGTCGGGAGGCCCTGAAACACGTCTACCTGTCTGGGATCAACTCCTGGAAGAAACGCCTGATCCGCATCAAGGTGCGCACAGGTGCTTCTCCCAGCAGGTGCAGAACGGAGCTCTCACAGCGGGGGCAGAGGCCGGCTGTCGGCTGTTAACCGCTTTGTTAGGGTCCCTCACTGCCTCCTTGGCTGGCAGTTCCGCTCGGTACAGGTTCTGGAAGTGCAGACACCAGAGGGGTGCACAGGATGTGGTCCGACACAGGGAGCTGTGGGTGTGGAGGAGGAAGGAGCACAGCAGGGCATCAGGAGAGAAGGCTGTCCAGGCCAAGACCAGGAGCCGGTTTCCAAGACTTCACAGGCAGGCTAACCTCACGCCCTCCGGCTCCATAAGGGCGCCTGTTTCTGCCCGCAGAATGGCATCCTCAGGGGCGTGTACCCTGGCAGCCCCACCAGCTGGCTGGTCGTCGTCATGGCAACAGTGGGTTCCTCCTTCTGCAACGTGGACGTCTCCTTGGGGCTGGTCGGTTGCATCCAGAGATGCCTCCCTCAGGGGTAAGGAGTGAAACTGGAAGGGCACAGGTGTCACCAGGGAGGGCTGGGCCCAGCTCCCAAGCCTGAGGTTCTGAGCTGGGCAGATACAGGACAATAGCCATTGGCAGTCACAGGGCAGCCCTCCCCTATGACAACCATTGTCTTAGTCCTATATCAACTCTTATTTGTTGCAGTCAGACATGAGTGTGCCCAGGGAGGTTCTTCCTCTTGATGTCTCCCCTGAGACAGTTCACAGCCACCCGAGGCTGGCCTCAGGAGGACCCCCTGCAGCCTTTGCCCCCTCTCCAGTAGGTGTGGCCCCTACCAGACCCCGCAGACCCGGGCACTTCTCAGCATGGCCATCTTCTCCACGGGCGTCTGGGTGACGGGCATCTTCTTCTTCCGCCAAACCCTGAAGCTGCTTCTCTCCTACCATGGGTGGATGTTTGAGATGCATGGCAAGACCAGCAACTTGACCAGGATCTGGGCTGTGAGCAGCAGTCAGTGGAGGGGTTCAGGCACCTGGGTTGAGACACTTTGGGCTCCTTTAGGGTTCTGAGCTAGAAGGGAGAGGCACACAGGGCACTGGTGCCTGTTGTGTGGTTTGTCCTGGAGGGGCTGGGATGGTTCTGAGGGTCTCAGGGAGTTGCTGGTTGGTTTCCATTCTTGCCACTGGCTCCCACCCCAGCACTCTGCTCTGTACCCCCAGATGTGTGTCCGCCTTCTATCCAGCCGGCACCCCATGCTCTACAGCTTCCAGACATCTCTGCCCAAGCTTCCTGTGCCCAGGGTGTCAGCCACAATTCAGCGGGTGAGGGCCTCGCTTGGGCATCCCAGTGGGCAGGGGAGGCTGGATTCAGGAGATGTTTCCAAATATAAGGTTCTGTGCAAAGAGTGGCCTTAAGGGCTTGAGAATAATGGGGCTGGGTGAGGAGGAAGAGGTAGGAAGAGGATTAAGATAGAGGCAGCCCTCGCCATCTGACCCCATGGTGATGATAACTGGCTGGACAGTACCTAGAGTCTGTGCGCCCCTTGTTGGATGATGAGGAATATTACCGCATGGAGATGCTGGCCAAAGAATTCCAGAACAAGACTGCCCCCAGGCTGCAGAAATACCTGGTGCTCAAGTCATGGTGGGCGAGTAACTATGTAAGTTTGTGCCCTGGGCTCATTGTCACCTGCCATGTGTCCTGGCTGCCCCCGCCCCAGCTCTAACCTTCCACCTGCCCACAGGTGAGTGACTGGTGGGAAGAGTACATCTACCTTCGAGGCAGGAGCCCTCTCATGGTGAACAGCAACTACTATGTCATGGTATGAACTGGAGCCCCCAGGCCCCCGCGCGTCCTCGCTCTGTCCCAGCTCCAAGGCAGAGGACCTGGAGGATAGCCCGGAGCTCTGGTAGCAGCTTCCGTGGGCAAGTGGGGGTTATGGAGTGAGGCCTGAGGGAAAGGGCAGAGGGAGAGGAGATCCTAGAAGAGTCCAGAAGCAGCTTTGGGGCAGTGGAGATCCTGAGGATGAGGAGAGTGGTGACCCCCAGCCTGCCACCACCTCTCTCAGAGTCCCAGGGTCACTGCCCCTACCCATCTCAGGCTCTGTCACCTCTTTCCTTGGTTTCCTCACTGGCATCCTGGCCATGGGATCCCAGCTGCCCTGACACCATAACCAGGGAGTTGTCTAGAACACGTCTTGCTTTGTGTCCCTCTGCAGAGCCGGACAGCAGAATGAAGGCCAGGCTGCTGCTTTTAGAGCTCAGGAGGTCACAGTCTGCCTCTGCCCCATGTAACTGGCCCTTCTGAGTCTCTGGGTCTCCCAGCCACCCGGGCTGTATGGCACGCCTCTTCTCTCCTTTCCCACTGTCCAAAGCACACTTGACTTGCCAGAGTCTATCAGAATTCTCCTCCATAAGCTGTCCTTCCAGGAACTTACACACAACTTGTCCATACCAGAGGTTTTAAACTGCTTTTTAGTGGTAGAACCCCGTTATCAAAGCAAAATAAGTAGAATACAAGCACATAAAACAGGTTATAAAAAGGCAGCTCAGGCCGGATGCAGTGGCTCACGCCTGTAATCCCAGCACCTTGGGAGGCCGAGGCAGGTAGATCACGAGGTCAGGAGATCGAGACCATCCAAACACGGTGAAACCCCGTCTCTACTAAAACTACAAAAAATTAGCTGGGCATGGTGTCGGGCGCCTGTAGTCCCAGTTACTTGGGAGACTGAGGCAGGAGAATGGCGTGAACCCAGGAGGCGGAGCTTGCAGTGAGCCAGGATCGCGCCACTGCACTCCAGCTTGGGCGACAGAGCGAGACTCCGTCTCAAAAAAAAAATAATAAAATAAAAAAAATAAAAATAAATAAATAAATAAAAAGGCAGCTCAGAGTCAGGCATGGTGGTGCATGACTCTAATCCCTGCAACTCAGGAGGCTGAGGCAGGAGAATGACTTAGGGCCAGAAATTTGAGGCTGCAGTGAGCCATGCTTGCCCCACTGCACTCCAGCCTGGGTGACAGAGCAAGACCCTAACTCTAAAAAATAAAGAATTGAAAAAGCAGCCCTGGCTGAAGCTGGAGCAGAGGGTTACTGTGACCAGCTGTGCATTTCTGGAGGCTCACCCTGACAGCATGTGCAGGACGGACCGGAGGAGGGAGACAGAACACCTCAGGCCCCCAAATAGACTGGTCCTTGGGTCAGCAAGACCCAGGTGACACCCAGACAGAGGCCCCCACCGCGCGGGCTCTGCTTTCTCTGTAGGACCTTGTGCTCATCAAGAATACAGATGTGCAGGCAGCCCGCCTGGGAAACACCATCCACGCCATGATCATGTATCGCCGTAAACTGGACCGTGAAGAAATCAAGCCTGTGAGTTGTGTCAGGGTTGAAGGTGGGATGGGAGAGGAGACCTGAGTCTGAGCCATGCTGGGCCTTCCCCCAGGTGATGGCACTAGGCATAGTGCCCATGTGCTCCTATCAGATGGAGAGGATGTTCAACACCACTCGGGTCCCGGGCAAGGAGACAGGTAACTGAGCCCTCCCTGCTCCCTGTGGGCCGTCTGGCTGGCTCGCTGCCCTCCTGCCTGCTCATCACCAAGCATCCCCAGTGTCTCAGGGTCCTGAAACTGTGAACAGTAGTCAATTGTGACAGATACTAGACATCTGTTATTTACAGGCATGATGCTGGTTCAGGGACCCCACGGGGCCCAGAGCAGAGCCCCCGTGCCTCCGGGGCTCACTGTGCGTGGTGAAGGGAATCTTGCTGCAGCCGAAAGCTTAGGACAGGCCGGGTGCCACCATGGAGCCAGCAGAGGAGGGGAGAGGCGCACCTAGGGGTCTGGCAGAAGCAGCAGCCTTCCCTGCTTCTGACACTGTATCCTTAGGCGGTTTGCACAATCTCCTAGTGCGTTTCCTCTTCTGTGAAATACTTCATAGGATTGTTGTTGGTGTTATATGGGAGGTAGCGGAAGCACCAGCACAGGGCCTGGTTTAGGACACTCGGATCCCATCCAGGGGGCAGGAAGGCCCAGGCAGAGGCTGAGCAAAGCAGGGTCTGCAGGGACACCCAGTGCATGGGAGGTGGGCCCTTCCCAGGATGTAGCCGGGGTCCCGCCTCAGCTTGCCCATGGCCTCTGTCACAGATGTGCTGCAGCACCTCTCAGACAGCCGGCACGTGGCTGTCTACCACAAGGGACGCTTCTTCAAGCTGTGGCTCTATGAGGGCTCCCGTCTGCTCAAGCCTCAGGATCTGGAGATGCAGTTCCAGAGGATCCTGGACGACCCCTCCCCACCTCAGCCTGGGGAGGAGAAGCTGGCAGCCCTCACTGCAGGAGGAAGGTATCAGCCTGTGGGGAGGGACTGTCCTCAGCTTGAGGTTCAGGGCTCCATGAGAAGAGGAGCATGGCCCTGCCTGCCACCCTGGAACTGGAGGCTGGAGGCACAACTAGGGGAGGGGCATTGGTGGTAATGGCCGCAGGACAGCCAGCATAACCTCCCTCTGATGGGTGGCAGCTAGGTGAGAATGTGCAGAGGGTGGGGACACCCTCCGAAACAGCCTGGCACGTACCCCCCACCTCCAGGCCCAGCCTGGCACACACACCCCCACCTCCAGGCCCAGTCTAGCACATACCCCCCCACCTCCAGGCCTAGCCTGGCACCCCCCCCATCTCCAGGTCCAGCCTGGCACCCCCCAATCTCCAGGTCCAGCCTGGCACCCCACCCCCATCTCCAGGTCCAGCCAGGCCCTCGGAGGCACCCTCATCCCAAGTCCATGTGGCCACTGCTTACCCTACCCCGTGCTGCAGGGTGGAGTGGGCGCAGGCACGCCAGGCCTTCTTTAGCTCTGGAAAGAACAAGGCTGCCTTGGAGGCCATCGAGCGTGCCGCTTTCTTCGTGGCCCTGGATGAGGAGTCCTACCGCTATGACCCCGAAGACGAGGCCAGCCTCAGCCTCTATGGCAAGGCCCTGCTACATGGCAACTGCTACAACAGGTGTGGCTGCCCCCGCCCCACAAGTCATAGCTTAGGGTTAAAGGTTAGGGTTATGGTTAGAGGATTGAAGATAAAAGGTAGGTTGTGAGCTGGGTGCCGTGGCACACACCTGTGATCCTAGCACTTTGGGAGGCCGAGGCGGGTGGATCACTTGAGCACAGGAGCTCAAGACCAGCCTGGGCAATGTAGCAAGACCCTTTCTTAAAAGTAGTTAGGATTGTGATTAGTGGTTAGGTAGGGATAGTGGTTAGGGTTAAAGGTTAGGGTTTGGGTTAGAGAGTAGGGTTAGAAGCCGGGCATGGTGGCAGGCACCTGTAATCCCAGCTAGTCGGGAGGCTGAGGCAGGAGAATCCCTTGAACCCGGGTGGTTACAGGGAGTCAAGATTACACCACTGCACTCCAGCCTGGGCAACAGAGCAAGACCCCATCTCAATTAAAAAAAGAGAGAGAGAGAGAGAAGAGAGAGAATAGGGTTGGTGTTAGGGTTAGGGTTAGGGTAACATCCGAGTTAGGGTTAAAGGTTGGGGTTGCAGGTCAGGCTCCTCTGGACATTCCCAGCTTTGGTTCTTCATGTGTCTACTCTCCCCGCAGGTGGTTTGACAAATCCTTCACTCTTATTTCCTTCAAGAATGGCCAGCTAGGTCTCAATGCAGAGCATGCGTGGGCAGATGCTCCCATCATTGGGCACCTCTGGGAGGTAATAGCCTTGCAGAGGGAACCTGCAGGGCAGGCTGGAGGGGATGAGGCCGGCCTCTCAGCCTCATCCTCTCCGTGCAGTTTGTCCTGGGCACAGACAGCTTCCACCTGGGCTACACGGAGACTGGGCACTGCCTGGGCAAACCAAACCCTGCGCTCCCACCTCCTACGCGGCTGCAGTGGGACATTCCAAAACAGGTGGGTTGGAAGCTCCCAGAGCAGATGTGAGACCACAAAGCAGCGGGCGGGTACAACCCCAACAAGGCCTGAGTCCCCCTGCTCCTCCTCCTCCCCCCCTGCTGGCCCCACCGCCTGACCCAGCCCTCGGGAAGGCACAGGGCACATCTCAGGATACCCGTAGAGTCCAAACTGGCTTCAGGGAGGACAGAGACCACCCACTGCCCGTGGGGCCATCTGTGTTTAGAGAAGGCCATGAGATGGGGGCGGCACTCACAGGCCCCTGGAGCATTTTCAGCACTTCCCTCTTCCCCACAAAGCTCAGCCCAGCCTCTGGGGGCTGATTCTCCCTCAGATTGTCTTTTGCATACCCTCCTCCTGAAGATGTCTTGGCCAGCTGTGCCCTTCCTCCACCAGCTAAATGTCATGCCTCCTAGACGTGACCCAGAGTCCTGCTTGGAGAGCCCTGCCCTCAGCTGACCCTTCCCATGTCTTGGCCGGCTGTGCCCTTCTTCCACCAGCTAAACTTCATGCCTCCTGGATGTGACCCAGAGTCCTGCTTGGAGAGCCCTGCCTGCAGCTGACCCTTCCCATGTCTTGGCAGTGCCAGGCGGTCATCGAGAGTTCCTACCAGGTGGCCAAGGCGCTGGCAGACGATGTGGAGCTGTACTGCTTCCAGTTCCTGCCCTTTGGCAAAGGCCTCATCAAGAAGTGCCGGACCAGCCCCGATGCCTTTGTGCAGATCGCACTGCAGCTGGC